TTTGACTTGGAAATCCCATGCCCTATCTAGCCTCTAGCCTTTACTTCCAAAGGAAAACAAGTTGGAGGGCTATCCCAATAGTTAAGATCATGCACTGCTCTTGCTAAGGACCCGAGTTCAGTTCCTAGTGCCCCATAGCTAAGGGCTCACTGCCATCTATAACCTCAGCTCGTGGGGATCCAATGCCCTCTTCTGGCTTCCACGGGTAACTTCACTCATGTGCACATAGCCACACATAACCATACACTCACACACATAACTAAAAATAAAAACACTTGGACTGTGAGGGAAAATAAAACCCCCTCAAAAAAATAAAAATAAGAGCTTAAACAAAGAGAAAGAAAACAAAGTGGTTTTTTGTTTTGTTTTGTTTTGTTTTTATTTTTACCCACCCCACCCCACCCCACCCCCCACCCCTCTGAATTCACCCTTTCAAGAAAATGGCTCCCACTGTCTTGGATTTACAAAGCCACTCATGTGAACATCTTTGCCTTCGTGGGCTTTGCTCACACTTCCATAATTCATATAACAGCAAGCACACCCCATCCTCAAGACAAAATGCTCACTATTCCCTCTTGTGTTGCACATTACTTTTTTTTTTGTCTAACTTGCCACTACCCCAATAAATACTTACCTAAGAAACTCCTGTTCAGCAGGCGTTGGGGGTGGGTCTAGCTGAGGAAACAGAATCCTCCGGGAACCCACACTGGAGCTACTATTGAGTTACACATATGATCTACCACAAGACACTGTAATTGGCATGTGCCTGTGTATAACTCCATGGAAAACTGGACATTAAACGAAAGATTATGCCTTCCATCTCAGAAATTCTCACCAGACAGTCCAGAAAATGCTCAGCACATAGTAAATGCCCAACAAATACAGAAAGACAATGATTATGTAGTATTAATTATTCACCAGTAACCATTATTAAAACTGGACCCACAAGTGATGTGAGGGTCTATTTGTGTTTATTCTAATTAAGGATAATAGTGTGTAGGGGGTAGGGTATATACATTCATGAAGGTCAGAGGACAACTTTGGGTGTCACTCCTCAAGCAGCAACCACTCTGATTGTTAGACATAGTCTCTTTACGGATGTAGAATTCATCAAGCAGGCTGGCTGGCACCACAGAATTTCTGGAACCTGCCTGCTTCTGCCATCCTAGTCCTAGCATCATAAATGCAGGCTTCCAGGTCTGCTTGCTTTAACATGGGTTCTGTGGAATCAAATTCAGATCCTCATGACTTTAAGGCAAGTACTCTATTGACTGAATTCCATAGCTCTCAGCATTGTTGTTTTAAACACTGAAATCCCAGAAAAAAAAAACACACAGTAATACTATTGTGCAAGGAAAATCTCCCTTAAAATACAAATTTGTGTTTATTGAATACTCGAGTCTAAAATAGCATAAATCTCCAGTAACTTCTTCTATTTTCTTCATGTCCTCCCACATGCAACTACTGAAAGGGCAAAGAAACATGTGCAAACATAGGGGAATACTCCCTGAGCCAAGACACATGGGGGTGGGACTAGGCCCTATCCCAAAGGATATGACAGACTCTGAAGACACCCTATGGAAGGCCTCACCATCCAGGGGGAGCAGGAAGGAGATGTGATAGGTAGGGTTTTAGTTAAGGAGGGTGGTAGGGGAGGAGGGGAGGGAGAGGGAACTGGGATTGTCATGAAAAACAATCTTGTTTCTAATTCAAATTTTAGAAATCTGCAGAAAAAAAAGAAAGAAAGAAACATGTGCAAGCATGTAAAAGTCATAACGATTGGATATTCTCATCCTAGAGAGCCAACGAAATTTTGAGTTAAAAACGTAAGTTTCTGGAGGAGACACAAATGCAACCCAGTCTTTAAAAAAAAATTCAATATTTAAGCAAGTTCTTATGCCCTATCTTGTTCTAAAATGAATTTAAATCAGATTATAAATACATACACAACTAAAGAAAATTTAAGTGGTGAGATCTCACTCTTTTAAAAAAAAGTGGTAAGAACACAGAAGATAAATCTAGAAATGAATTTAGAGTATAAAACATACACTCTGTGGACCCTGTACATTAGCAAAAGATGCATCAACAGTGTGTTCTCTCACGCTGGCTGGACAGAGTGAACGATGTTTCCCAGTCCTCTACATGTGCAGGTCCCCATCAAGCAGATGTGAGAGTTCTCAGACGCTCTCAGTACCGTCTTCCTCCTGAGAGTGACAGAATGCCACACTTGTGCTTCTTATTACTCAGCTTTTCACCCTAAAGCTTTTCTTTTACAAATCATCCTCGCCGACACCTTACAGGCACATTTAATTATGAATGTGTCCCAGAGTGAAATCATAAACTCACTAAAAATACTGAGATCTCTGTGATGAGTTCTTGTTTTTTTTTTTTTTTTTTTTTTTTTTTTTTTTTTTTTTTTTTTTTTTTTTTTTTTTTTTTGTAACAGCTGTGCTACTTTTGGGCATCAACTTTGCAGGTGGTAATATCAGGTTGCATTGTCAAAAGCTGGACAAGCCTGTTAGGATCAGCCTTCCTTTCCAGTACCAACCTCAATATCCAAAGTAGGGTGCAGTACCTGCCACTTAAACTGTGATGTGCAGTCTCCTGAGTATTTTTACATTAGGTCCCAGAGTTACAAGTATTTTAAAACTTTAAAACTGTGTGGCAATTCACACCACACACACACACACACACACACACACACACACACACACAGACAG